CCACAGCCATGCTTCCATGCTTCCGTGTGCGATACACCATTAAACGCTGCGACAAGGGAGACGATTATTACACGACTGTCAATTTCGTTTTTATTTTTTATGATTTCAAATTTTTATTTTTTCCTTCTTAACTCTAGTACTTAAATTGCCATATGGATTTTGTTATGAGGGGTTGAGCAGATATGCTCCGAGAACAGGAGTCAGCCCCTGCAAAAGGGTTCTCTATCCTCCAGACACTCACCAGTTTCTCAGCGCTAGGGGGAATTACCAACTAATGTTCGCTACTCTAACGTCTCAAGATTCTTCTATCTTTCGTCTTTTCTTTTCCTTCCTTTTCCCCTAGGATTCTCGATTTTCGAAGAACAAGACATAGGCCGTCCACAGCAGCTAGGAGGGTAACATGTATTTTGCCGCTCCGAGGTAAGACCTCAAAAAGACAATGGCAGTCCCACGTGTGGAAGCGCAGGGACTGTCGCGCCTCTCGCATCATAGTAATTAGCAGCCCGCATGCTCCGTTCCCGAGACGACGTGCATAATTTTGCATAGGGCTAAATTAAACGCTATTCAGAGTTTCCATACAGCTACAACAGGGGACGACGCAAAGTAAAATCACCATCGTCGATCGAGGGTCAGCCGGGATCTCCAAGAGGGGTTTGGTTGGCGTACGACGCTTGGTTATCAACCAGTCAACGAAAGAGAACGATAGGTAGAGATTGCTCAACTTAACAAGCCGGACTTGCGACGCGATGATTCGGTAAGTCAGATACTGTATACTGTATACTGTATACTGTATACTGTATACTGTATACTGTATTATACCGTAACAGTAAACGGCTAGGAGAACTTGCTACCAAGAAGTATATGTAGCAACAGCAAACAAAGGAGCCCTTTGTCTCGCCGCTGTCCCGTCGTAAATCTCGATCTCAAGTTATAAGTGGGCGGGGCCGTGTGTACGGGTACCGACGGTACAGCATACCTACCTAGGTACCTATGTAGAAGATGGTTCTTACTTCCATCGACGATCAAACTTATCGGTACTTCTTTCCTGCTATAGTTAATAACTAACACGGTAACTTTACGCATTTCATATCCACTCTCCCGGTCCGGTCGGTACATCTACCCGTGTACACCGCCGAGAACGAACACTTACCGAGAATATCGCCGACATTTTAGTCCCGTAAGCGCCCGACAGGATATAACTATCTAAAGTAGCTTTATAGTTATTTTATTAATAATATTTATTAATAAATATCTATTAATAAATAAAACAAGTTGCGCTTTATCTCAAGTGGCCATAGACCTCCAGCCACTCACGCCACAACGCCACAACGCACGGCCTGTGTCATTACCTATGTAATTAGGTACATTAGGTACCTATGTACTGAGATAAGTCTAAGCCCAAGCCACTTAAATCCGATATCCGAGTCTGGTCTCGGAAGTCCGAGCTACTTCCACTCTACAAACGTTTGTGATTCATCGTCTTCCCTCAATGTCTACCTAGAGGTAAGTATCTAGCAAAAAGAAAAAATCTATCTATTCTCAACCTATTATCTTATCAATCTAGCTGGTTTTACTTGACCGGCAGCCTGGCCAAATTTCGCATCATACATTTTTACCGTGAATTCACCCCCAGGACAATGGCTGATTCTCAAGCCAGTAACGCGCCTCAGCCATCCGAGGATGATGATCATGATCATGACCAAGACCAAGACCAAGACCAAGATGACCATCAGCAAGGACCCGCACGGAAGCGCCAAAGAGTGAGGCTTTCATGTTTAGAGTGCCGCCGCCGAAAGCTTTCATGCTCTAGGGAGCTGCCTTGTGATCGTTGTATCAAATCCGGGACGCCCGAGAGGTGTTCTTATGAGTCGAGACCCGGTGTAACAGCGGTCTCTGCAGGAGAGAAACCCTCCTTTACTCCTTCTGCCCTTCCCGTGTCGTTTAGTTCCGACGCCCGTCGTCACTCTGCGAATCCTCCGTCAACCCGTCGCGAGGTTGAGCCGTCTGTGCTCAGAGACGCTGTCCGTGATCATGACAGGATTCGACGACTTGAACTCGAAGTTGCCCAACTGAGAAGTGCTCTATCAAAGCAAGCATCAAATGACGGTAGCACTATGGTGGCCTCGCCATCGACCTTGAAGGACTCTGCCAAAGATAGTCAATCTGTACCTTCAAATCCCACATGCACTCCGCAAAATATTGCGGTGTTTGAATACGCGAACTTACGGGGGCATGACTTTAAGACTAAGTACTTTGGCCCACACAATGCATGGTCGTCCCTCCAGGAACTTACCGGTATATTTCATTTCATGAGAGAGACGGCCGAGGAGTGGCTCAAACCTCTCAATATTCAAAAAAAGGATCGCAGAAAGCGAAAGCAGGACCGCGACAAGAAATTTACCGAGTCTGACGTTGGTCTAGAGTCACTTCTCCCTTCCAAAGAAGAAACAGATTCCCTTGTCGCCGTATATCTAGATCAGTTCGAGCAAATTTATCGCGTCGTTCACGTACCAACCTTCAAAGCCGAGTATGAGACATTCTGGGACCCATCCAAGACAAACAGCGCCTCTTTCACCGCCCTCCTGCTGTCCATGATTTCTGTATCCTGCTGTCTGGATATGCAAGCATCCAACAAATTTGTAGGCATTAAATCTAGCTCGATTCAGATGGCCGAGAAATGGGTCAAGGCATGTGACGAGTGGTACTCGCGGCAAAGTCAGAAACATCGCAAACTCGTCCATTATCAAATTTCCTGCCTTCTTTATCTCGCTAAGCGAGTGAATCTCATCAAGAAGAAGCGATTTTGGACTACATCTGGTACCATGATCCGCGATAGTCTCATGGTAGGACTTCATCAGGACCCTGATCGTGTGGTAGGAGAAGTATCTCCGTATATTGCGGAGATGCGACGAAGAATATGGGCTACTATAGTCGAGTTTGATGTCCAGTCATCATTTGACCAAGGTCTTCCGACGCTTTTGGGCACAATTCAGAACGACTCCGACGCGCCTAAAAATATAGATGACGACAGCTTCAACGAAAATTCCTCGGAACTGCCTATTTCACGCCCAGCTCACGATTACACATATACGTCGTATCTACATTTAAGTCGCCAGAGTCTCGCCCTTCGGACGGAGCTGAACAAGATATTGACCGGACCACCAGCAGAACTTGAATGGGAGCAGGCCCTTCAATATAGTGACATGATTACTCACGAGCTCGACCGATTGCCGTCGTGGGATTTGGACAATAGAAAAGATCCGGAGCACTCGCGAAAGCCAATCTTAGCACATACGTTACTACATCTCCAGCTAAGACAATATCTCATTCCACTTCATCAACCATACCTAAAGCTTAGGAAATTCAACTCAAAGTACCAGGTCGCGGAGCTCATTTATTATACTGCGGCTCGAGATATCGTTATAATGCATGATCGGCTGTATCAAAAAGGAATTCGGACTCTTTATTTCCTCCGTGAAGACACAATGAATTCGGTCATCAACCTCTGCAACGTAACATTACATCAACCGAAAGGTATACGACGTTCTTCTTCTTCTTCTTATTATTATTATTATTATTATTCTACCGCGACACTAATAAGATGCCAATAGATTCGTCGAGCCTGATCATGCACAACTCCCAAGAGACACTCCGGCTTATTGAGAGGTGCATTACTATGAAAGAAGACCGCGTGCTGAGATGTGGCAATAACGATCCGTGGGGGTACTCATCAATGTGCGCTGCTTACGGCCTTTTAGAGACGCACATGGGCATTAAAACGTCGGAGGCAGCCAAGGCTTCTGCGGCAGAACGGTTTATCAGTCTACATTATAAGCTGCTCGCATTCCAAATTCCGCCCTATTCCTCCCAACCACCACAACATCTTTCGACTTCCTCGCAGACAGGTCAAGACCCAATCAACCGAGGAAAGGTACGTGATAAGCCCTTCTTCCCGGCGTAATTACTAACAAATACCCAAGTCAATCACACCGTTCCCCATGGATACAACACCTAGTATTCAGATGGCGACCACGTCATATCAGCAGCGGGATGGCTTACCACTATCAATGCCGTGGTTACTACCATCAACTTCAGATTCTAACACACTTCCTATTCCAAATCCCGATTTCAATTTCGAAATGCTCGGTTCCGATTTGAATGATCTATGGGGAGATTGGGGAGGCCCTAATGACTTGGTATAAGATGTCTTCTTAGCGGTCTGTTTCTTAAGGCCCGCATCTTTCTCTTTCGTGTGCTAGGGGCTAGAGGCTTCGCAGCGAATAATGGTTTAATTCTCTGATACTAAATAGGGATAGAAAATGGTAGCTTGTGATACCCAGAGTGAATTGATTTCGAGTAACAGGACTTGGCCATGCGAATCTTCACAGATGGCTTTCGCTGTCGACTACACGCGTATGCGTATGTATACCTAGATCATACTACTATGAGCTAGCCGTATATAGCGCGCGTGCTGACGACTGCTTGGTAGGTCAGATGTAATGCGGCTCACAAGATATATGCAGTCGACATATCGCTTCTCACCTCATTGGATCGCTATCTTTCTCATCTTTCATCACTTAGTGCTATTACCGGCCGCATGGAGATGATATTTATATGCACTGCTTCCCGCTTGCATATTCCTCATGAATCTAGACGTGCAGAGGGACCAACACGCAACAATGGCTGACAGAGTCTAGATCCTTCGACAATTCGGGTGTAAACCGCCCGTCACATGTAATCACTGTTCCATGAACCGGGTTAAGATGCATAGCGTAACAAATCAATATCTTGCCTTGGCTTTCTATTTCAGGTGGGTTTATAAGCTAGAGCGGTCAAGCGGTTCAACCTTCTAGTTTTGATAGTACAATATTAATATGTGACATTAATAATTTTCAGCTCCAAGTAAAGCGGACCAATTAATTTCAGGGGTATCGTAGTCAATTCAGATTAGTAAGTTGGTATAGATCCCGTAGGAATCTTGACTTTTAACTACCTATTCCGTAATCTACACTTGAATCTTGTTTAAGCCAGCAAAGGAGCCTGGTCATAACACTAAAACCCGAATCATTCGTCATCTTAACTTGAATCATCTCGGCGAGGTGGAGCACGGGGTAATCCGGCTACTACTATGTTAGCCAACTACCTAAACACGACAAAAAGTCCTCCTAGTCGGGTTAAGTGATTAATATCCTTGCTTAAGCTCCACTAAAGTAGACCATTTTAACTTCTAATGAGACTGGGAGATCGCATTGCTGATGTCGAATCCCCCGGTAACTTGAAAGGTATAAAATCAACTCTAAAGGAATCCCTAGAATTTGAAATCGAACCCACGTTGATCTTGCACCAAGTAATCCGAAAAGCAATTTAATTGTAACAATGTCTTCGTATCTCGGCCTCGAAAAGAATATTTCTTACTTCACTGTGGGTTGTTTCCATGGTCTAAATCCTAGACCTAGGCATTTGAGATATTCGAGCTAACACCTTAAGCAGATCCCGGCGGCGGTCATTTTGGTAAGGGTGTTCTCGAGGTCTTGCGTGCCGTTCCCTCGATAATACTAATTGCGCATAATATTATAGGCCCTGCTGCCGCGAGTGTACTCGGGTCTCACGGGACCGGGTAAGAAGTTCTTCGACCCTAACAATCCACGTTCATTCACGTCGAAACTTGAGTCCGCCGAACTTGACAAGAAAGTAAGTCACAGGAGTTACTACATATACCAGCTACAGCGTCGCTGACCAACGAATTAGTTAAAAGGCCGGCTGCAGCGCGCCGAATCAGCGGGGGCCAATGCCTTTGAAAATCTCGGCGTCTACGCCGCAGCCGTGACAGCCGGCAATGCCGCCAGCCTCCCTGTAGAGACACTAAACAATCTGACCTTGGGTTATTTGGCGGCTCGTGTTCTCTACACGTGGATTTACATTTGGGGGCAGGAGAACCGAAGGATCACTCCCTTCAGGACGGTAGTCTGGGGAATCGCCATGAGTTGCTGCATGGCCTTATTCTCCCTTGCCGGGATCCGGGGTCTATGACCGGGCTATGTCTAGGCGTTGCCTCACATTAATACAGTTAAACTACTAGTCTATTGTAATGTGAACTTTTAGATCTTCAACGGGTTTAAACTTCTATGGTCTACCAGTACGAACCGACCCGCTGGATGAGCGTGTCACCAAGTCTCCTAATACTCGACTGAAACTCGTTCTCATCGGCTGCTCTCCAGTTCGCACTCGTACCTGGGACCGCTTCAGCACCAGTAAACCCGATGTACAGTATTTCCTCTTCATCAAAGCCTACCACACCATCTAAATCGTGCCCAAAGCAGAGAGTGGCAACTGAGATGGAAGCTTCCCCAACCCTGGGGTTTACACCATCATCACCGTTCGTGTCTCCCCATATGCCATAAATCTACTTCTCGGTCAACTTTGGGAACACACGTAGGCTTACTTGAGTAACTCAATATACATACCAACTTATTGTTACATACGATAGCCATCACGCTCAGGGGCTCCATACCGTAGACCCGGGGGTCGAACGTTACCCAGCCAGGCTTATCACCGGTGTTGCCAAACACTACATAGTCCTACAACCACGAAAGTCAGCAATTGCGTGCCCAGCTGTGAGACTCAGGGCTACGATATATGACCTAAAGAACAATAGAGGCTTTCTCCAATTCGAGACTCCAGATACCCAAGACCCAAGACAGCCGAAAGGGGAAAGAACCTCGAGCATACGTACGTGAACAAATGGGTTGAGATCTGGGACACCATTACTGTAAGCCGCCACGTATCGCTTCATAGCAGTCATACTCTGATTCGAATGAGCATTATCGCAACGGCCGTCATCATTTTTGTCAATGAGTCCATCACAGTCGACGTCCATATTTGCTAGCTTTCCGTTTCTACCCTGCAGGTAGATGATGCCGTAATCATTTATATGATCGCCACAATAGGTAAAGCCTAGATAAGAGGTCTAAGTAGACGTTCCGAGTACTTTGATAGCCCTACTCACCATTGTCATTACTGTGTGCCATGTCATAAAAGCCCGACTGCAGCGGCTCCCTGCATGACCCCTGCGCCACCACCGAGTCATAGAAGTTCCCTATATTGATAGGGATGTCTCGGGCCCGGACGGAATCGAGCAGAAAATACAAGAGACAGATTTTGAAAGACATGTTTATCTATGACGAGAATACTTTTGTATAGGTTGACTATCTAGTCGATAGGTAGGGGTCAGATTTTCATGGCAAGAACACCGGAAAAGGCCATCTATATGTCTTGACCTTTCTACAAGATATCCATTACCCCTTCTCAACCAATCTCTTAGCCAAGGGGTCCTACCACCCTCCACACGAGCTCGCCATAAGCTACCCATGTTTAGCAACCGATCTAACTTGACCAGTCTCCTCGTCAAACAATCCGTTAACTCCTAGCGAGGAGATGGCTATATCCCACCGTCCCTTCTTGTATTACATTACGAATAGAACTAATGATGGGCTGTAAAATATATAAGAAGCACTCTAGGGAGAATTCAACTACTAGATGGCCCAGACACCTAGCAGCCCGACAGCTTGTTTCGGCCGCAGTTAGGTGGTATAGTAGAATAACTAAGAATCTGAGATAAATTGAAATTATATACTCGTATTTACAATCCAATTCCTTAGTCCGAAGCATTCGCAGCTTTATTAGAAAGAAATCGAACGTTTGGGCGTTTGAACATTATAGGTTGATACACAGTTTAGGTATTATAGTATTATTGCTATATATAAATATTCGGGCCCGATACAATATTTTTAACGGCCGTATCACCATAACTGGTCTAAATTGACTTTTCTAAATTATTAGCCAGCCCGGCGCTCTGCCGCGCCGGTACCTATTTTACGTGCTTGGTCTTACCGCCGCCGTTTACCGGATGTTTCGACCGCTTCGGCCGGTTCCTAGGCACGTCTCGGACTGACCTTTTGCGTCGATAGCCACGTAATTAATGCCTACCACGACGTATGTGGACCGTGGACCGAGTTTCGATGGCACCGATGTCGTTAATATAGTCATGATTGACTGTGTACCTACCTAAAGATATATAAGTGTATATAAGTGGAAAGATCTAGGAATTGGTGTGTAACATTAAAGTATGCCCATCCCTTGGTTAATTAAGGTATAATCCCGGTGTTTCTAAGCTTTCTTGGAATCTCGTATTCACTCATATAGACACGTATCGAAGACGAACGGCTTGAATTTAAAGTCTCAGGTCTTTAATGAATGCTATGCTATATAATCTACTTAGTCCGGTTACCCAACAATATTTCACTACATTGGAACATAAGTCAAACTGATACCATACTCGTATAACTATTCTAGTACATATTTCATTGTTGAGATAAATAAGTGGTCGAGGGACTGTTATAACTTGAGGCTTATTTGGTTTCACTCCAAAGCCGGTTACTACTCCGACCGAATTATTATATCATCTCTTGAACGCGATCAACAGGGGAGCTATCAATAGACTGGAAAGGTATGTCTCGCAATTTATTAAACGGAGAAGTCATGAAACTTTGTATGTACAGGACGAACATCAAGCGCTACGAGTGCTTGGAGCTAGGCTATATGATTAATTTAGAACCATGGCTCCAGCGAATATTTCAGTGTAACCGCCCCTTTTATCAAGTCTATATCCTCTATTTCCTCCTCGTATCCCCTTCAAATCCCCCCCATATCCTCCCTATGCTGTTAGAATAACTCAACTTAGTTATCATTAGTCGTTCCGCAACACCCTAAGCACTTTTCTTGATCTGAGGGCCGAGGAATCCCAAGACAGCCGATCGGACACCCTTCTCATCGTGGGCCACACCGTCGACGACATCGAACTGAGTCTCAATACCCAACTCCTCCCAAGACGCGCGGAGCTCCTTGATCGATTCAAGACGGGTCTTGTCCATAGGAGGAAGTCCTCCGCTACCGAAAGTCTCCTTCTTCCACTCCCAGAAAGCCTCGTCTCCGTGGATCACAGTGTCATTGCCGCCAACCACAAGCTGAATAGGGAGCTTTCCGATGACGTCCGGTTGGATAGTCCTGCCAAATACGGTCTTCACGTCCTTGGTTCCAACTGGCCAGTTCTCGGTGTCGTTGATGAACGTAGGACGTCCGGGGGCACCAATGCTGATTGCGGCGAGCTTTTCCGGGTAAAGATACATGAAGCGGTGGGCAAATTGGCCACCGCCAGAGAATGCCATCATAAACACTTTCTCCATCTCGAGGCCAGGCCAGCGGTAGGCGACTTGGTCGAGAACCTGCAATAGAGCTTGGTCCGAGCGGAGTGTATCCGATTTAAGCTCCTTATACGAATCGAGGTCGTTAGGCCCGTCCATGCCGGCGGGGAACAGAGGAGCAAGGATGGCACAGGGGGTCGAATCAGCAAAGGGGACAAGCTCATCGTAGATAGCAACTGTGCTCCGACCCGTCCCGTGGACGTAAACAAGCAAGGAGAGTTTCTTGGGAGTGGCACTTTTGCTCGGGTCCGGGTTATAGTGGTCTTTTGGGATGTACAGAGCGTAAGAGATACGCGTGTCGGCTTGTAGAGCCATTAGGGGAACGTGGTTGACGAAATACACATCCTCGAGGAACTCGGCAGGCATATTTGCTGTTGTCAAGGCGTCCTCCATACCAACGGGGACCTTGTCAGCTGCTAGGACCCCATTGAGCCCTAGAAGGGAAGAAAGCAGTAATCCGTATCGCATTTTGACTCGAGTATCGGGAAGAACTTATAAGTTATGAATCAAACGAGTTTAGAAATCTTTTAAGGGAGAAGAGGCTTATCTTATTATCCTACACGACTGTAGTGAGGGATGAAGAAACTATCTCGGAATATTCTACATGGACGACCCTTCTTATAAGAACTCGCTTCGATGAGACTACGTAAGATCCGTCCGCAGCAAGCAACCCTGAAATTGACTTCAGCCTTCAGGACAGGCCCCCCACTCCCGGCTTGTGGAAGGTTTACCTGCTTTACCGAGTAGCCAAGGTCTGTAGACTTGATCTCGGCTTCTTAGCATCTTCGGGTCGCCGTTACATGGTGTATACTGTTCGGGCGAAACTCGGGGCTCCGGCCGCAACCCGCAGCGTAGCCAAGGACTCCACCATTATTCTCTGCCTTATGCTCAACAGATTCAGAGATATTGATTCTAAGGCCTCCCATTACGATGATATCTGCCGATATCAGAATGACAAGGTTACCTCCATGTCTGCCTTGAGGTGTGCTCGGAATATTGGACGGTAGGGATAAATTTACTAGGTACTCGGCGATGAACCGCTCTTTGCAATATTTGATGCTATACAGAACTTTTGAATAAAGGATACTTTCGGCATATGTATAGGCATCCATGTGTTTCCATAGTTTAGTTTCATGGTTCCTTGCGGAACAACGAAGGTGCTATACCTTCTGGGTCCACCTCATGATACCCCTTTTCTCCGTAACGAAGATGAGACGGCGGGACCAACCTATCACTATGATACCTCGGCTTCTCATCACGGAAGTCTTGAAAGACTCACAGGCGGTGTAGAGAGTAAATGAAGCCCCAGATGGTAAGGGATCTTTATGTCGGTCCACAACTGCTTTGTCCTTCTGCCACTCGGGTTATGTCTACTAGGCTCTGCCTATGTTCCTCGGTTATTATGCTGGCTGGAGATGCAACAGAAGCGAGATGTTGATGTGTGCTTTACGAGCCTCCGTGAATGTCTGTACTGGGTCCACGATTAGTTCTAGAAACTTGACGAAATACAAGTTATGTGAGTTAGATATCGGAATTGGACATCTTGAACCAGTCCTGGGCTCCAACAAACACCAAGTAACTGATAAGCCGCATTGACGCATTGGCTGCTAATTAATACTAACTAGAGCAACATGTTATGATACAGACCTCGCTTTCAACTGATCTCTCTAACTCCTATCAGCATTACCTTCAGATACACTCCTTTCCTACCAGCCCTTTATCGACTCCCGAGAACTCGTCTACGTACGGAGCTCTAGAAAGAACACAGCTATAAGGATGTGATCCATATTAGATGTACTTTTACACTTTTAAAACGCCCGCTGCTTCACCCTACTAACGTCTTACTCGAATAATTAAAAACACGAACAAATCCTAGCTCGCAAGAGCTGATGTAGTACGTCTATCAGAACACAGCATTTCCCGACATTCCACGCAAACTAGCCTCCTGAGGGTCCATCAGAACCCAAAACTATCCAGAAGCGAATTCGAATCAGGCTCCTCGAAGACGCTGGGCGGTGGTTTGACGCCGTGGCCTCCAGTTTTCATATCGGTCGGGGCTACGTGCGCCATAGGCATGTCCTGGACAACTAGTGAGCTGCGGCGTAGTAGGAGTTTCCTAGGATCGATCTCGCCGCCAAGATCTGGAGCCGTCGGTGTAGCATGCCGGAAGAATTCCCAGTTGCGAACTATACAGCAGTTAGCGAGGCCGTCTGTGTGGAATAGGAGATGAAACTGAAGTTTGGCGATTTACCTAGGTCTAGACCGAGGAGGTCACAGCCCATGCGGTCATAGAGTCTGGCATTGTGTAAGACAAACTCCCACTCTGTCCTTGGCATCACCTTAGACGCCCCACGGAGCGTCTGCAACGTCTTCTGTCGAAGCTGGGAGTACAATACAACAAGGGCTGGGTCATCCGTAAGGAAGAGTTTCGCCTTCAAGTTGTCTGATGAGACTGGTGTTTCTAATAGTGTGTAGACAGGCGTCTTCAAGAGGTTAGCGTTTTGATCGTAAAGTGAATTTTGATATTTTGATAGAAACTCACAATGAGAGCGCGGACCGCCATGTCTCTCCGCTTTAACATCCAGAAAGCCCACGACGCTAGCCAACGATTACCTTCTTGAGCCGCAAGAGTCAAGACCTCGTTTTCTAGTAGCTTCCTTAATACGGGACCATTATCGCCTTCGTATACCCTCGCAATAGCGATAGCAAGTTGGATATCTTTGATTTGGCTGATGCACACGTTCACCGCATCTTGTAAGTGGCCTGCGAGGAGGAAGAAGGCAGCCGCGTATTCTACATCTCATGTTAGTACTTGCGTGCCTCATAGATGCCATGGGGGTGTTTACCAAAACGACGCTTGCTCAGGAGAGCATATGCATTCTTCAAAGCCGTCGTCTTCCACTTGGGGT